TGCTTATGTCCCTGCCATGAAACACGGACCAAAGGGTTCCACTGGGCCTCTACATCTCTTCAGAGTTCTGTTGAGAGCATTCCAGCTTCATCTTTTTAGAGGGTGGTGCTCCTTCCAAATCCTTCGGGGGAAGAAGAGAAGTGACTATATAAGCAGGGAGGGCATTTGGGACATGGGGTGGGGGGGTGGGGACAGCAGGCTGGCTCCAGAGGGAATTGAGAGAGCACTACCTGGGAGGAGTGGAGGTTCCAGACAAATGGCGAACTTTAAATCCAGTGCTTTGGAGAGCACATGAAACCCACCTCCTCTGTCACCACTGTCACTCTAAGCCATGACACGTGACATCCCCTCTGTATTTTTAGCCCCTGTCCTTTGATTCCACACAGTCTAGACCAAGTTCCTCTTGTGACCAGTCTTCCGGTCTGTAATAATTGTGGATGTAAGTAACTGAGTGTAAGGTTCAGTTCGGCAACCCTACCTGTACCTCTAAGGTAGTTTCCCCAAACACCCAGAACTACTCTGCTGTGTGGACTGTTGTCCCTTGGGCTACAGGCACCTTGCTTGGTGAAAATGCTCAGCCTTTGTTGAACGGACACATAGCCACTATTCTGGGAAAAGTGGTCTGTCCTTGACACTGAATTCCCAAGAAGTCTTATGACCATCCAAAAAGTTATTCATTCACCAGCAGTCACCTCTGGTCCTCAGACCTCAACCGTCACCCGAGACCAAACTCTAGACTATCCCTGCTAATTGCGACTCCCTGGCCTTTGCCATGTCTTCATGTTACCATAGGCACGGAATAAAGCCTGTGCCTGGACAGCACCCTGCAGCCCCTCTTTCCATGTGCCCCACCCTCCCCGCTTCATTAGCAGGGTCTACCTACTGACGCCATTAGAGTCTGTCTACTCTGAGCTGCCGCTACTTGCTTCTCGGTGACCTCTTTACAGGTGTCATGAAACACCACCTGAGCCTGCTCCTTAAACTGTAAACACTGTGGGAACAAAGGCTTCCAGCATTTGCCCACTGACTTTAAAACACAAGCCTGAAGAGGCTAAGAGGCTAAGAGACCAGCCCCAGGGGCCATTCTCGTCCTGGACCACCAGGCTGTAGCTACCCAGTGTTCTTTGCTCTTCTGTTCCTCTAGTTGGTCCTGTCTTGAAGCCTGTCTTCTTCCTGGGCTCATGGGTCTCCAACTTCAGACACAGGAAACTCCAGGAAACTCTTCTCAATCTAAAGAGGGTCCAAGACACCTGATTCATGCTCTTCACATCAACCTATGACATCTCTCACAGAGACCTAGTGTCCTGTGTCTGTCTGTCAAACTTCTCTGCCTGAGCAGAGAATAGGGCTTGGTCTGTAGCATGCTGTGTTAACTGTGTTAACTGTGACAAGGGGGCGCCAGCTTGGGCATCAGAACTAAAGAGAAGACTGAGTGAGTTTTCTCTGAGGACCATGGACAGGACTTGGCATCAGGGAAGCTGGCCCTCTTCCTCACTGGTCTTTGGAATTTAGTTTAATGTTTTATTACATTCATTCATTTTTGGGTTTTGCAGTTTTTTTTGTTTTTTTTTTTTGTTTTTTGAGACAGGTTTTCTCTGAGTAGCCCTGGCTGGCCTTGAACTCAGAGATCCTCCTGCCTCTCAAGGGGTGCTCCCTCCCACCACATTCATTCTTTATATATATTGTGTGTATGCACACAGGCATGTGTGCAGGTAACACAACATGCATATAGAGGTCAGAGGGCAGCTTGAGGGAGTCGTTTTTTCTCTTTCCAACATGTGGGTCCTAGACTTCAAATCTAGGTCATCAGGCCTGGTGCCTTTATCAGTGGAGTCATCTTGCTGCCCTGCTTCCCTCTTCTTTGAGACAGGGTATCACTAGGCAGCCCTAGCTGGCTGGGAACTCAATATCGAGACTAGACTAGCCTTCAACTCACAGCCATCAGTCTGCCTCTGCCTCCCAAGTGCTGGGATTAAAGGCAGGCATCATCACGCCTGGCTTCTCCTGTTTGCTTTTTAAAGGCAGACACAGATGTAGGAGGAAAAAGTGGGCAAAGGTGCTCCCAAGGCTACTGGTTCCCTGTCTGAAGATCTCGTAGGGATGAATTAGCCTAGGCTACTACGTCAAGACCGAGAAGAGGCCAGTCCCTGGGCTCTCAGGAGGAATGGGGAAGGAAGAACAGAGGAGAAAGACATTCGGGACTCAGGCCAGCAGAAAGGGGTCCTCCTGACCTCAGAGCGAATACAATATGAACGTTTTTCTTCTTTTCCCTTTTTCATGCTGGGACGTGCTCTACCACTGAGTTACACCCAGCTCATGCTCTTCTTGAATTTAACAGCTTTAATTTTCATCTTTAAAAGTGTATTTACTTATTTTATACGTATGAATGTACGTATGTGAGTGCACCGTGTACCTTTGTCAGATCCCCCAGAAACTGGAGTTACAGATGGCTGTGAGAGCCAACATAGGTACTGGGAATTGAACCTGGGTCCTCTGCAAGCAATAAATGCTCCTAACCCCTGAGTCATCTCTCCAGCCCCTCTTATATCAATGCACCACAGTAGCCCTGGAAGATGACATCTGTGTGTCTACACTGGGCTCTGGCTGGGTATCTTAGCCATATTTTCTCGTATAATCTTTATTGGTAGTTTGACAGATTGAGGCTTGGCAACGGAAGATGCCCAGGAGCTAAGTGATGCAGCTGTGGACAGCACCTGAGGCCTCAGACATGATCAGCAGATGTTCTGCCACTGAGCTACAGCCCCAGCTCTCTCCCACATCCTGTTTATTTGAAACAACCTTCTTTCCACGTCTAATGCCCTTCTTACACCTACGGTAGCACCTCTTCATCATGGTTAGCACAGTACCTCCTAAAGATCTGGTCCTATTCCAGGTAGTAAGGACATAGGGCAGGTCAGACAGAGATGCATGGACTCTCATTAAGTCTCCCAGGCTGGCTTTGAACTTTGGATTCTTCTGCCTTAACTTCCCAAGGAGCTAGGATTACTGGCTTGCACCTCCATACCCAGAGGATTGGAGATGGATTTGAACCTGGGCTAGATTCCATCATATCTGCCTCCTGGCTGTAGGCCTTGTGTTTGCACTGAACAATCCAAGAAAGATGCTGTTGCTGTTTCAACACAAAAGGAGGTCTGCGCAGAGCGCTGCGCCAGAAGCCAAATTCCAAGGAATAATCTGGCCTTCAGGTTTAACCTTAAAGGATGTGGGGTCAGTGAGATGAGGTGATATCTTCATGGACCCAAATAACACAGTCACCAAGCTGAGACTAGAACGACAGTGTACGCATGCTCTACCCCAGAGGCTTCCAGAAGCAGGACCACGTGTCCCTCCCATCACGGTGGCCCCAGGTGACAGAGGCTAACACGTTCAGCTGCTTGTCCAATGGACAAGCAGTGTTCCAACTGTCCCACCGTGAAGCAGCTTGACTTTCAACAGACCACAGAGAACCCTTGCCCCGTCCCACCGAGGCCTGGCTGCAGGTACCTGAGAGACTGCCGAAGTTTCTGCTGCCAACCCCGACTCTGCAGATGGCTGCCGTTCCACCTTTTCTGAGCTGTTCATTGAGTTTTCCATCGAAGACTGTGAATTCTGCTCATCAGAAGCGTCTGAGCAAAGAACAAGACAACATGAGAAGCGGCACCAGATGGGCCAAGTACTAAAAATACCCGGATTTGCGTAGTTTTGTGGCTCGGGACTTCCAGAGCTAGATGGGCTAAAGCTTGGGCAGTTTCTCGTTTATCAGCTATCAAGGCGGTTATAAATAGCCAGGCCACGGGTGGGCTCTGTGGTTCTCCAACCCTCCTTGCATACATACCTACTCTCCCTGGAGGAAGAGGGCTACTTTGTATGCAATGCTGCCAGTGTCTGGCGCCCTCTGCTGGGCACCTGGCACCAAAGCAATCATGGCTGTCTCCTGGCTCCAGCAGGGAAACCATGGCCAAAGCAACTTCAGCAGGCTTTTGTAGAGAACTAGCACTCTCCTAACATCACCCAAGAGTTATTTATTTTTCTTTTACGTGGATGGGTTTTGTGCCTGCATGTATGCATGCCCACTGCCTGTGGAGGCCCAGAATGAACGTCTGACGCCCCGGAATTGGGAGTTACAGATGGTTCTGAGCCACCAACGGGGTGCTTGGAACCAAATCGGGGTCTTCTGCAAGAGCAGCACATGCTCTAACCATTGAGCCATCCCTCCAGCGTCTAATTTAAAAAAAAAAAAAAAGACAGAAACGAAAACCCTACATTTACTCATTTAGTGTTTGTGCCTGCACACCACAGTGAACAGCAAGTGGAGGTCAGAGGACAACCTGATGGAGTCAGCTCTCTCCTACCATTCGAGTCCTGTGACTGAACTCAAGTTGGCAGGCTTAGTGGCAAGCACCTTTACCCTCTGAGCCACCTTGCCATCCCTAGACCAGCCTCAGATTCTCTATGTAGTTAAGAGTAACCTTGCACTTCCAGTCCTATGGACTCAAACCTCCTGAATGCTGGTATCCACAAGTGTGCACTGCCACAGCTGGTTTATTTGGTGCTAAGGATCAAATCCAGTCTTCAAGAATGCTTAGCTAAGTGAGTACCCTACCAATTGAACCAAATCCCTAGCCCAAAACTTTTCTTAATAAGGGTGTTTCATCAGGGCGGTGATGGCGCACGCTTTACTTGGGAGCCAGAGGCAGGCGGATCTCTGTGAGTTCGAGACCAGCCCGGTCTACAAGAGCTAGTTCCAGGACAGCCTCCAAAGCCACAGAGAAACCCTGTCTCCAAAAACCAAACCAAACCAAAACAACCCCAACCCCCCAAAAAAACACAAACAAATAATAATAACGGTGTTTCTCTGGTGACTAGAGCAAGGACTTACTATTGAGAAAAAAAAAAGTTAAAATCAACGCTGTCAGGTGGAGGTGGTGCATGCCTTTACATTCTGGGGAATAAGGGAGGAGGCACTGCAAGATCCCACCTGAGCCTGGGCTGCTCACACACCTGAGCCTGGGCTGCTCACACACGGCCCCAATGACAGAACACCCTGGCTTTATTTATTTAAATTTTATTTTTAATCATTAGAGGGGGGTATATGCATCTCAGTGAAGGAGTCCATAGAGGGGGGTATATGCATCTCAGTGAAGCAGTCCATAGAGGTGGACTCCAGGAACCAGAGTTACAGGCTGCCCGATATGCATGCTGGGAATCTTAACTCAGATCACCCTTACCTGCTGAGCCATCTGCCCAGCCCTCACCCTGGATTAACGCCTCCTTGTCTGCCTTCTCCTCCTATTTTTTAAAATTTTTTTGAGACAGGGTTTCTCTATGTAGCCCTGGCTGTCCTGGATCTCTCTCTGTAGACCAGGCTGGCCTGGAACTCACAGAGATCTACCTGTCTCTGCCTCCCAAGTCCTGGGATCAAAGGTGTGAGTCACCACCCAGCCTCACCCTGGTTTTTAAAAGCCTACTATAATAATGTTGAAGAGTGCCTAAGCAACCACAGCTTACTTTCTGAGGCAGAGGAATAACAAAGAGTAAAATCCAAGCATGAACTTTTTAAAAACTCTCTATATAAGTAATGTGCGTTTATAGCCAGTCTATATGTCTAGGGCCTGACGCAGGTGGGGGTGCAGACAGCTACAGTGCAGAGCCTGTAGCTCTAAGGCCTACTATCCAGACCAGCAGCCTGCCTTTATATGGCTGGTCAGAGTTCCTGTGCAGGGCTTCCTTATGGCCACAGGGTGGGGCTCCACCTACAACCCAAGACGCAGAGGGACACAGTTTAGAGAAAGATTTAAGTTCAAACACTACCTTTGCCCCTGGTGAATTATGGGACCCTGTCCAAGATCCCTGCCTCCCTTATAAAAACAAGGCTGACAGTGGCCACCCTGTCCAGGGGCTGTGACAATTATCTGCGGTGGCACGGACACACACACACACACACACACACACACACACACCGAGGAAAATGTTCTGTAATGAGACAGAATGACAGAATATTCTAGACAGTATTTTGTTCAGAAATGGTTCAGCTCAATCTTTTTGGGGTTGGGGTCCTAGGTGTTGAGCTCAGGCTCTCTCATAGACTAAGCTACAGCTGGGCTTTACCATCACCAAATTTCATGTGAAACTTCTTTTTTTCCCTCTTTGGAGATAGGTTTTACAACAACGCTATGAAGCCCAGGCCAGTCTCCAATCTGTGATCTTCCTGCTTCAGCCTCATGAGTACTGGGGTTATAACGTGGGCACCGCCAGGCCTGGGCCATGAATTTCAAGTTACTGAACAGGAGACGTTGGGGGCTGGGGAGCTGGCCCAGTGGTTACAAGCACCTGCTGCTCTCCAAGAGGACTTGGATTTAGTTCCAAGAACCCACATGGTGGCTCAGAATCATTGGTAACATTCATTCTAGGGCATCTAATACTCTCTTATGATCTTTGAGGGTCCCAGGCACACAAGTGGTGCATATACATACCTACAGGCAAAACACAGATGGAAAATAATTTTTTTTTTTTTAAAAAAGGGAAAAGTTAGAGGGCCAGGCATGGTGGCACACTTTTAATCCTAGCACTCAGGAGGTAGAGGCAGGAGAATCTGTGTGAGTTCCAGGCTAGCCCAAACTACATAGTGAGACCCTACTTAAAAATTAAAAATGGGGTGGGGGGTGGGGGGGAAAAAAAAAAAAAAAAAAAAAAAAAAAAAAAAAAAAAAGCTGGACATGGCAGTGCATATTTGTAATCTCAGCCCTTAGGAGGTGGAAGTCAGGAGTTTAAGACCATCCTTGGCTGCTACATGACACTCTGCTTAGAGAGAAGAAAGAAGAACAAAAAAGAGAGAAGAAAAAAAATCCACATTAATTTTGTATTCTATTTCATAATCTATTTGCTTTCTTTAACAAAACACATTTGTAACTGACCTAAAAAGTCTGCCTTATCAGTGGCTTGGCCTCTGTGGCCAGTTTGTTTTCTGCATGCATCAGGATCTACAGATGGAGGGGGAGGAGGGTTTAAGGCTCCCTAGGCAGTCAGTCACAGGAGATTTGAAGTTCACACAGCCTGTTTGCTGGCACAGGCATGCCCAGGTTCCAGGCTTCCTTGAGAGCCAGGCCTGTGGGTTCAGAGGGAGCCAATGGTGCAGCTCAAAGCATGCCAGGGCTCAGGACAGCAGCCTGTTCTCTGAGCGTCCTGGTGCCTCTGGAACGCACCCAGGGGAAATTATTTTCCCGGAGCCTAAATTTAGCTCAGGGAGCTTGGACATTATGTCATTCCCTGAACTTACCCAGCAGTAAACAAGTTCAAAGCAAGGTCAACAGCTGGTGGCCAACCCACCCGTTCCCAGTTCACCAACCTGTGGGGAGGTCACATGGGTCCTGGGCTTATTCCCTTTGCATGAGGGCTGGGGCAGGTGGGTACAAGCCCAGTGGCCTGGGGTGACTGGAAGAGGATCCTGGTATGATTCCCACTTGGGCCTGTGAAGTATTCAGTGCAGTTGGGGTGTGGAGGTATACAAGATAGCGTCACAGAATTGTCACCCCAAATTAACTCCTACAGCTGAGACAGCTGAGCTCAACTGGCCTGTTAGGGGGAATGGGACCCAGATTCCAATGGGGAATAAGGCTGTAACCAGACAGCAGAATAGGAATGACGCCAAGAGAGCTCCAGACATGATCACACTTGCCCTAGTAACCTCAGAACACCCTTCCACACAGAGTGGGGCGTGGGGGCTCACTCCACTCCAAACCCCCAGTCCCTTCCTCCACCCCAGAATTTTGCTGAGCACTTTGCTGATATCTCCACCTCCTTTATTCCTTGTGACACCCTGACAAGGGAAGCCACTTTTATCGGTCCCATTCTAGAAACAAGAAAACAGGTAGGTACATGGGAGTCGATGCTGTCTGTCCAAGGCCATGCTGTAGTAAACAGCAGTTTGGCTGTGGCTATGGCCCATCCCAGCCTCTCCACCTTCTGCCTTAAGTGTTATCTAACCAGCAAGATCCTGGGAAGCCTAGTGGGTTTGCCCTGACTAGAAGAGCCCTCAAGGAGAGACGAGAGGTCATGCCCATAGATGTAAATGGGACAGGGCTTTAGCAAAGCCACTAGGGCAATTATAAGGAAACTTTTCTGGTGTGTGTGTGGGGGGGGTTAAGCCTAGGGTCCTTGCATGCCTGGTCAGAGTTCTACCATTGACCTACATTTCTAGCCTTTTTTTTTTTGGTTTTTGGTTTTTGGTTTTTCGAGACAGGGTTTCTCTGTGTAGCTTTGGAGCCTATCCTGGCACTCACAGAGATCCACCTGCCTCTTTCTCCCAAGTACTGGGATTAAAGGCGTTCGCCACCAATGCCCCATTTCTAGCCTTTTATCCATTGTTTTTATTCTGTGTTTGTTTTCACCACATACATGCAGTACCCTTGGAAGCCAGAAGAGGGCACTGGACTGTATACCCCGGGTACTGGAGTTGTGAGCTACCTTGTGGTAGCTGGGATTGGAACCTGGGTCCTTTGTAAGAGCAACCAATACTCTTTTTTTTTTTTTTTTTTTTTTTTTTTTTTTTTAAGATTTATTTATTTTATGTATAAGTGCTCTATCTGCATGTATGCCTGTATGCCAGAAAAGCACATTGGATTCCACTAGAGATGGTGGTGAGCCACCATATGGATGCTGGGAATTGAACTCAGGACCTCTGAAAGAGCAGCCATCTTAACTGCTGAGCCATCTCCCAAACTTCTTCATTTTGTTCAAGATTGGCCCCAGATTTGCTCTGTAGCTCAGGCTGGCCTCATACTGGTCATCTTGTACCAGCCTCTATTGGGCTGGGCTTAGAGCTCTATACCACCCACCACCAGTTATTAGAACTTGTATCACCCTTCTGCTCCTGTTCTAGCCTAGCTACCACCCTCCCTCACAGATAATGGCTGCAATCTCACAAAGGTGTTGCCACCTCCACCCTAAGCACCACATCACATTTTCTAAGTTCTTTAGGTCTTATCAACCCATGGTGGTGTCTCACTGCTCATAAAAAAGTCAGGGAGCAGTGGCCTTATGAGCTCACCACATTTGGAGCCCACCCATACCTCTGACTCTTACTTTTCCAATCCCTCACTTCTCTTGCCACACTGACCTTGCCTTTGCCTCAGGGCCTTTGTACCACCTGCTTGTCTGCCCAATGTTCTCCCAGATAGCCTCTTGAATTGTTTACTTGCCCAACATCTTTACCTGACTTATGTCACAAAAAAGCTTTTCCTAACCAACTTCATAATTAAACAAGACTGTCACCCCATTTTCTAATTCTAGTGATTGCTATTTAATTTTATTATTTGTTTGCTTATTTGTTTGTTTTTTCCCCCAGACAGGGTTTCTCTATGTAACAGCACTGGCTGTCCTGGAACTCACTCTGTAGACCAGGCTGGCCTCCTGAGTGCTGGAACTAAAGGCGTGCGCCACTACCACCCTCTGATTTCTCCTGTCTTAATGGCTCCAAACCAGGCCTTACTTTTCTTCTACACTCATGGTCTAGGCTTGGCCTACAGCAAAGCCTCCTTAAAACACCCGCAGCAGCCCCTCTGAGTCCCATCCCTGGACAGCAAGTACCTTCAGCTACAGGGTGCTCTTTTCCATCAGCTTGTGCCTCGTCAGCCTTGGCTTCAGGGCCGTCACTGGGCACAGATGCGTTGGGCTCTGGGGCAGGGCTGGAGTTGCTGCTGTTCTCCTGTTTGATGGGAGAGGCATCTGCTATGGAGCTCTGGTTGCTGTTTTCATCTGCACAGGAACAGAGCACAGGTTGATATCCTATAGCTGCTGAGGAGAGGGTAGCGTGTACACATGCATACATGTGGGAGGGGGCCCAGCTTTCCCGAGCCTGTGAGGTCAGGGAGTCTGACCAGAGCTAGTCTGATTATCTCCTCCCTACACCTCCCCCACAGGCCCTGGCTAACTAAGGAGGTCCCTGTGTCTGGGGCCTGCCAGACAAAACAGAGAATGGTCCTGGCCTTGACAGGACCACAGGGCTCATGAAAGCACCGTAGCTTTAGCTGCTTGAGGATGAAGCCAGGCAACATATCAGCATGAAGGAGGGGCTCTTGATTCTTCTGGGGGAGTCTGTTTTCTTTAAGGGTGTCGCCCTTGGTAGGCTGACCATGCTCCTGTGGGCTGGGCCACACCCATAAATATATGAGCAGCACAAATTAGAGTCAGCATGTTATCAAAAAAAGAGAACACACAGGACTAGAGAGATGGCTCAGCAGTGACGAGCACTTGCTGCTCTTACAGAGGATGCAGGTTTGGCTGACAGCACCCATGTGGCTGTTCATAACTCCACTTCCAGAGGATCTGACCCTCTACTGCCTCCATACATGTGGCAAACAAACATGAAATGAAAACAAACACATTTTTTTTTTTTTAGACATGGTTTTACTATGTAGCCCTGGCTGACCTGGAACTTGCTATGTAGACCAGGCTGGCCTCAAACTCAGAGATCCACCTGCCTCTGCCTCCCAAATGCTGAGACTAAAGGTGTGTGCCACATTGCCCAGATAAAATATTTAATCTCTCTGGGTAATGGTAGTGTACACCTTTGATTTCAGTACTCTGAAGGCAGAGGTAGGTGAATCTTTGTGAGTCTGAGGCCAGCCTGGTCTACAGAGTGAGTTCCAGAACAGCAAAAGAAAAAGAAAATAATCTTTTTAAAAATATGGAAACACAGAAGACAGGGAATGGGAGGGGATGGAGTGGATCTGGGAGGCTTTATGGGGTGATTATGATCAAAATACATTGCATTCATATATCAAATTCTTAAAAGAATAAAAATATTGAATAATAACAATAAAAAAAACCTTTGGGGTAATGAGAACTGGTCTAGGTGGAGAAGAAACAGGTATTTTGTACAGCTGGCCATGAAATAGTATTACTAAGACATTCCACCTCAGCTCCTGAAACTCCAGGCTGAATTCCTGTTGATGTAAACTAAAGGGAAAGCCGGGCATAGTGGTGCACACCTTTAATTCCAGCACTGGGCAGGCAGAGGCAAGTGGCCCTTTGGGAGGGCAGACAAGGCTATGCAGAGGTAGCAGGAGCACTTTATTTCTTCATGTGTACATGTGTGCCTGCAGGCAATTCTGTGCACCATTGCACACGTGTCCCTGAAACTGGAGCTTATAGGTGGTTGCAAAGTTGTGCTGGAAACAAAGCCCAGGTCCTTTACAAGAGAAGAGCTTTTAGCCACTCTTCCATCTCTCCAACCCTGGGAGCCATTTTTTTATTTTTTAAGATTTTATTTGTTTATTTGTATACAACATTCTGCTTCCATGTATATCTGCACACCCGAATAGGGCACCAGATCTTATAACAGATGTTTGTGAGCCACCATGTGGTTGCTGGGAATTAAACTCAGGACCTCTGGAAGAGCAGTCGGTACTCTTAACCACTGAGCCATCTCTCCAGCCCAATTTTTTATAAGATTTATTTTTAAAATTTTGTTTTGTTTTTTGAGACAAGGTTTCTCTATGTAATAGCCCTGGCTGTCCTGGAACTCACTCTGTAGGCCAGGTTGGCCTGGAACTCAGAGATCTGACTGCCTCTGCCTCTGAAGTGCCCTTATTTTAATTGTGTGGTAAGTGTGTGTGTGTGTGTGTGTGTGTGTGTGTGTGTGTGTGTGTGTGTGTGTGCGCGCGCGCGGGTCTGTACAAATGAATGGAGATGCCCATTGGAGGCTTTGGATCCCCTGCAGCTGGAGTTAGTTAAACATCCTGACTAGTGCTGGAAACTCAACTCAGGTCCTCTGGAAGAACATCAGGAGTTCTTCACCACTTGAGCCATCTCTCCAGCCTCACCCATAAATTTTTAAAAACTTATTTTATGTGGATGATGCTCTGCTCACACGTATGTTTGCATCTCATGCTGGCACCCACAGGTGCCAGAAGAGGGCATTGGATCTCTTGGGTCTGCAGTTACAGATGGTTGTGAACCAATATTTAGGTGCTGGGAATTGAACCTGGGTTATCCAGAGGAGCAACCAATGCTCTTAACCACTGAGCCAACTCCCGAGCACCTACCCTAACTCCATGAACAACTTTTAAAAAGCATTGCTTTATGGCCAGACATGGTGGCATACGCCTTTAATCCTGGCACTCAAGGCAGAGGCAGATGGATCTCTTTGAGTTCCGCCTACCAAGGAAGATCCTGTCCTAAAACTAAACAAAGGGTTTATGCACTTATTTATTTTGATGTGTATACATTTTGTGTGCAAGGGCACACACCTTGGGTCTTCGCTTTTACACTCTAAGCCATTTCCCCCACCCAGAAATCAATTATAAAAGAGGACTGGCATATGGCTCATAGTAAAACACTTTTCTCCCTTCACAGTGTCCTGGGTTCTAGCCTATCAAAAAAACAAAACAAAACACTAAGGAAGGAGAAATGGGGAAGAATACTAAAGATTAAAGAAATGTAAGAGACCTCACCGGTAAATACTTGTGCCAATTATTTGGGTCTAATTTGGAATTTACCACTATAACACAGTTTGGAACAATTGGGGAATCTGTATATGACCTGGATTCTTATTTAAGTTATTAGGGATTATTGTTTGTTTTTTGGTTTTTCAAGTCAGGGTTTCTCTGTATTGCTTTGAAGCCTGTCCTGGAACTCGCTCTGGAGACCAGGCTGGCCATGAACTCACAGAGATCCCCCTGCCTCTGCCTCCTGAGTGCTGGGATCAAAGGCGAACTACACCAACACCTGGCAATTAGGGATTATTATTAACTTTGTTGGAAGAGATAATGGCACAGTGGGTCTGGGGAAATGTCACCCTTTGGCAACATATGCTGAGATGGGTAGTACAGACTAAACACGCCAAGGTAGGGAGACTGCAGACAACTATCAGGGCTCCACAGACTTCACACCCAAGAGACATGTAGTTTTTATGTAAATTAAGTCAATCTAAAACAATACATTAAAAAGCATGTGGCAATATGGCCCAATGTTCATAAAAACCAAAGCAGGGGGCCAGTGGGGCTCATTACACCGTGTTTTCTCTACAAGGAAACTGATGAAGAGAAGAGAGGTAACGAGGCAGTAGCATTCATTGTTAAGCTGGAAACAGATCTGTCGCCCAGGCTACACTTCCCCTTGTCCTGAACCCCCTTCATGGGCACAGTCATTTTATTTCGATTTTTATTTTTATAGGGGAAAGCATAAACACATCCCCAACTCCCACAAATTACACAGTTGAGTTTCCCGCACTGGGGAGAATCACAGGGCTGATGTGTGAATCAGCAAATCTCAAGTATAATGGAGGAACCCTTGGGAACCACCTTCCGGATCATGATCTCTCCTCTGCCAGGTAAGTATGGCACAGTCATTTTAGACCAAACACTCTATAACATGGCAGCTCACGCTCATGATCCTAGCACTCAGGAGCAGAACCAGGAGGGTTACTGATGATTTGAGATCATCCTGCTCTACGTAGTGAGTTCACGCTAGTCAGGACTTCACACTGACACTCAAATTAAGCAACACCAATCTAAGGCTGTCTTTGTAGATGCTGCTATATGTGGGACCTTGTAAAAGGAGGAGGGCAGAGGTACTCCAAGAGTTCTGGACCTACTATGTGTCACGCACTGAGAAAGAACATTTATAATTATCCCATTATGTTCTGAAAACATGGTCTTGCCATGTGGTACAGGCTATCCCAAAACTCACAGCCTCGAGCCATCCTCTGGCTTCAGCTTTCACATAGCTGGGGGCTACAGATGCACCACCATGCCCAGACACTGCATTTAATCAACAACCCACTGAGGGGTACCTACCTGGTATTGCTACCAAAATTTTTACAGATGGGAGAATTCATCCCTCGGGTTTATCTGCTGTTTCTTTGGGTTTTTTGTTTGTTTTGTTTTGTTTTTTTTTTAAGACAGTCTCATGTAGCTCATACTGTTATGAGAGCAGTGATGACCTAAACTCCTCACCATCCTCCCTCTATCTCCTCAGTGCTGGGATTATGGGTGTGTGCCTCCCATCCGATTTGGACCAACTATCAACCCCTAGTCTCTCTTTACCAACACCTGGAGGGAGCGCCAGGCAGTCACACAGCCCAGCTGACCCTATTTAACTATACTCCAGAATGCTGGTCACATAAAAGCATCCTCTTGACTTGAATATGTACTCTCCAAGAAAGTCTTGAAGATAAAAGTCTTTATCTTCAAGAAAGTCTAAACTTTCCTAGGTCAAGACTCCAATGCACGTGTGATGAAAATTCTGTTAATAAATGACAGTGAACATTAATGTCTAACCAGACAGATGCTGGGGCTGGGGCTGGGCCTGGGAACCGAGATTCACAGCTGACATGGCTGAATCTGTAGACTACAGACACCAGTGTGTGAGTGACCTCCACAGCTCCTGCTGTGCCCTTTCCCCAGCCTTCTGGGACATTCTTGCCAGGCCCACATTTGTCCCCAAGCCTTCATGCTTGGTCACCTCTGCCTTGGTCTTGGTTGTCCATGGGCTAAAATGAAAATGACGGAGAAGAAGGATGCGTTGCTTTATGTCCAGGAGCTGGCTCTTTCCGAATCAGTTCAGGCAGCAAGTCTAGATTCTGTCCACAAGGGCTCTCACATGTCAACTCTAGCACTGGAAGTTATCAGCTTGCTAATGGGGTGATTTGACTTTACCTCTCTGCCTTACTTCTTCATCTGTGAGATTTGCCATGTTACCAGACACTTGGCACATTGTGAAGGTTTCATACATGGTAGCTTGTTAAGATGCCAAGGCTCAGGGCCGGAGACATAGCTTGGCAGTTAAGAGTATTGACTGCTCCTTCAGAGGACCCGAATTCAATTCCCAGCACCCACATGGAAGCTAACTACGATCTGCAACCCTCACACAGACATACATGCAGGTAAAACACCAATGCAAAACAAACAAACCGCGTGCCAAGGCTCTTTAGCGATTGTCTCATCTAATCACAAGAACTTCATGAAGCAGGCATTACCGCTGCATTCTACAGGTTAAAACCAACCAGAAGGCTAGAGGTTACATCACTAACTCAAGGTGGCACAGTTGGGGGAGGTCCTGGGAAAGTTAGAGAGGGGCTACTTCAGAATGCCAGGGAACCAGGCCATATTCCATACCTCACCCTGAAAAGGAAATGAATTCGAGGCTTGAGCTTGGTACTTATCGGATGATGACCTTGAAGTTCTGATTCTCCTGCTCCCTCTCTCAATGTCTGTGATTACAGACCTGTACCCACAGCTTTTTTGTGCAAACCCAGTGAACACTCTGTCAATGGAACCACATCTTCAAACCTAGTTTTTTGTTGTAGTTTTTTTTTTTTTTTGAGACGGGGGTGGGGGGGGTGGGGGGTGTCTCATGTAGCCCAGATTGTTCTCGAACTCCTGATCCCTCTGCCTCCATCTCTAGAGAGCTAGAATTACAGACCCGTGCCACTACATCCAGTGGGATCTTGGTTCTTTGTTCATTAACCAGCAGCAAAAAACCATTGTGTTTTTATGAAGCCAAGTCACTAAGAAATAAGGTACCAGGGAATGGTTAGTTTGAGTAAATGAGGTAGGTGTGTGCTGGATATTGTTACGTCAACTTGACACAAACTAGAGTCACTTGAGAGGAGGGAACCCCAATTGAGAAAAATGTCTCCATAAGATCTGACTGCAAGCCGGGCGTTGGTGGCGCACGCCTTTAATCCTAGCACTCGGGAGGCAGGGGTAGGCAGATCTCTGTGAGTTTGAGGCCAGCCTGGTCTCCAGAGCGAGTGCCAGGATAGCTCCAAAGCTACACAGAGAAACCCTGTCTGGAAAGGCCCAGCCCATTGTGGGTGGTGCCAGCTCTGGGCTGGTGGTCTTGGGTTCTATAAGAAAGCAGGCTGAGCAAGCCATGAGGAACAAGCCAGTAAGCAGCAACTCTCATGGTCTCTGCATCAACTCCCTCCAGGTTCCTGCCCTGACTTCCTTCGATGATAAACAGCGATATGGAAGTGTAAGCTGAATGCTTTTTGATCATGTGTTTATCATAGCAATATTAACCCCAACTAAGACACAGTGTACTTACTGCCTGTGCCTTCCCAGGATGAGGCAGACTGTGTCAGAGGGCATCAGCAACTTGAGAGAGCCACTATTCGTTTTTGACTTTAACTGATCTACTGGATACCACCTTGTTGTACAAAAGGTTTAGAGTGGCCAAAAGCAAACATACATGCATGGGACATCGATACAACTCAGTGGGGAAAGGTGCTGGTCACCAAAGCTTCATGACCTGAGTTTGGTCCCTGGAACCTACTTGGTGGAAGGAGAAAACTATCTTCCAAAACCTCTGACATTGTAGTATGCACATGTCTCCTCGACTCACACACAAAATAGATGCAATAAAAAACTTCAAAAGCAAAAACATTAAAATTAAGATCAAAATCTGGACTCATCCAGTACCTGGGAGGCAGAGACAAGAAGATCACTACAAGTCTGAGGACAGCCTGAGCTACATAATAAATTTTAGACCAGCCTGGGCTGTAGAGCAAAACACTGTTTCCAAAAAACAAACAAACAAACAAACAAAAAACACAAAAAACCAAAAAACACAAAAACCAAAAAAAAACCAAACCAAAACAACAACAAAAATTACCAATACAAGGCTGGCAAATGGCTCAGTAGATAAAGGTGCTTGCCACTGAGCCTAGCGACCTGAGTTCAATCCTTGGGACCCACATGGTGGAGGGAGAGATATGACTCCCACAAGTTGTCCTCTGACTTCCACATGCATGCAATGGCATGTGCACATATGATATATAAATATATGGGGTGGGGTGGCACATGGTTTTAATTCCTATACTCTGGAGGCAGAGGCAGTTAGATGTCTGAGTTTCAAGCTTAGCCTACTCCACACAATGAGTTCTAGGCCAGCCAGGGCTACACAGTGAGACACTGTTCTCCAGAACAAAACAAACAGTAATAAATAATCTAAGGAGAGAGGAGGGAAAGATAAGCACAGTAAACTCTGGTAGGGTGGGGCCAGCCTGGAGACAGGACAGGGTGACCAGGGTGGCTAGAGCATCCATGTCTCCCCTAAGGGATGAAAGCTGTTCCTGTCTTAGCCAGCTGCTTCTAGCACAGTAACAACTAACTTCCCACAACAGCAGTAAAGCAGGGTTTCTGATTTATAAATATCAAAAGCTGCTATAGTTTGAATCTTAAATGTCCCCAAAGGCCCATGAGTTAAAGGGTAAATCCTCAGCTCGGCACAGTCAGAGGCAGAAGAGACTTTAAGAGGTGGGACCCGGGAGATCTTCTGGCTACTGAAGGGGTCCTCTTGCCCCCCTGGGTTTTGAGACACTGTTTCACTCTATAGTCCAGGCTGGCCTAGAATTCACTATGTAGCCCAGGTTGTCCCCAGACTTGCAGTGATCTTCCTGTCTCTACTCCTGGACTGGGATTATAAGGATGCGTCTCCAAGGAAGCCTGTTCCTCTTCCTCTTGTGCCAGCAGCTTTCCCTACCTTGACTGCTCCCACTGTGACGTGCTAACCCACCAGACACCCCAAAACAACGCCATCAACTTAATGGACTAGGCCCTCTGATGCCATAAGCCCAAACGAGCCCTTCCTCTTTCAAACTGCACCATCTCAAGCATCTTCTTACAGTGGCGGAAAGCTAATCATTTTTCACAAAATCTACAGGGTTAAATGTCCACAGTGGCTTTCCTTGTAGGGATGAGGCCACCAGGAGAGGTCTGTTGGGACAGGCTGTACACCTCTTGTGCTTTGGAACAGGCTGGCTATAAGGCTTGTGTGTTTTATGGACATTTCATGGAGCCATAGGGCTATGATTTGAGCCTTTCCACTCAATAAGGCAAGAGAGACAGACCGACAAGGTGAAAACAGGAGACTGGCTATATTATGGCCCCAACCTCACCCCAACGGATGCAATGGACACATGTAACAACTTCTAAAATCAGACAGCCCAGGAAGGTAAGCTGTCAGAGGGCAGTGTCCAGGTTCTTATGGTGACCATGAACTACTCAGAAATCCATTCTGGAGAAAGCAAAAATGGAGAATGAGAAATACAGTCATGGGTCTGGCACATCACACCCCCAAATCTTCCTGGTGGGCAGGGCTGCTGGAATCATCTGTGAGACTGCGCCCCTGGGTGAGCAGAAGGTGTGATCTCTAAGTTTCTGCTTTGTTTCTTGGCTAGGTACGCCAGGGAAAGAAATGTCTCCTCCGAAGAGCTCCTCCTTGGCACAGAGGCCTGGTAGTCTCGCCCAGCCTCCTACCCTTTGCCTGGAATGTGAACAAACCTGCTAGAGAAACAAAAACACAACTTAGGGCTTCCTGAGGCCCAGGCAGGGAAGCTGGCTGTGGTGGGGCTCACCGTGCATGTCCATCATTCCTGGTGACGAGCTGTTCTCTGGAGTGGTAGCCTCTGAGCCACACTTCTCATCCTTGCCTTTCTTCTTATTCTTGTTTTTCTAGAGGAGAAAAAGGGAACAGAAACCCAGTCAGTCAATCACGTACATGTGTGTGCACAGTAGAGGCCCCGGGGAGTGGCATGAATATTTAATGCCATCAAACAGTCAGAACCCCAAGCCTTGGCAGGTTGTCTTTACCTGCATTTGAATGTGGCCCACAAGGTGTCCCGTGCCCACCTTGGAATCAAAGCGTCTCACTGAGACATAATCTCACCTGTCTGTAGGGCTGTCACCTGCAGACAGGCAAACACCCCGGCTAGTAAGAACTTCGTCTTCCAGAGGGAGAAACTATGGGAAAGGCCATGGTCACCATCATGTTGGCGAGGGCAGATATGGTCACAGCAAAGCACAGGTCACTCTTGAGCCCCTTGGGGCTGCCTTTCTCAAAGTGTTGCGAAGGATGAAAAACTCAAAGGAGCAGTGGGGAATAGAGAGGATGCTTTTGGGGTGCTGGGGCTCAAATCCCAGGCGTCACACATACTAGGTGAGTGCTCTGAGGGTGAGCCACACCCACAGCCCCATAGCTCTCAAGGGAAAAGAATCATTTTGGTTTCCATGAGTGATGGTAAAACCTTCCTAAAATAAATCATGGACGGTCTGATTGTTCAAAGTAACAATTACAGAGACTAAGGAGGCTCTCTTTGGATTTTAATCAGAAAGATCTGTGAGGCATGAACATGTTAAAATACCTCAATATCCTCAAGACAAAGAGGAACAGAGAATGTAGCTGCCAGCACAGTTGGGGTGTGTTGAGGGGACTGCATCTCTGTGTGCACTCTGGAAGGACAAACACAAAGTGGGTGCACTGGTACCCACAGGGAGGCAAACTCAAGAAAGGCTGTGTGCATGCAGGGCAAAAGGCAGATTTAGGAAGAGGTATGTTGCAAAATTAATATTTAAATAGGGCTAGAGAGGTGGCCCAGCTCTTAAGGACACTGGTTGTCCCTGCAGAGGACCAAGGTTCAGTTCCCAGCACATATAGTGGCTCACAACCATCTGTAACTCTAGCTCTAGGAGACCCAATGCCCTCTTCTGGCCTCTGAGGGAACTGCATGCATGGGGTGTACATATTTACATACAGACAAAATATCCATGCATGTAAGAAATAAGTCATTTTCCTTTAAAGTAATATTAAAGAAGGTACAAATGAACAGAGGCAGGACACATATACAACTACAGGTCACCTGGGAAGTAACTGCTAACAGGTACTGAGGAAAATGGTATCTCTTACTTGTATGTGTGTGGGGGGGGGGGGGGGGGGGGGGGGGGGTAGAGGGAGGTGGCACCATGCATATGTGGAGGCCAGAGGAAACTTTTGGGAATTGGTTCCCTCATTCTACCACGTGGGTTCCAGGAATCAAACTCGGGTGGTCAGGCTTGGTAGCAACTGCCTTTACTACTGACCATTGTAGACACTTCCAACACCAGAATCCTGTGGTTTGAAAAACACAGCCTCGCCGGGCGTGGTGGCGCATGCCTTTAATCCCAGCACTCGGGAGGCAGAGGCAGGTGGATCTCTGTGAATTCGAGGCCAGCCTTGTCTCCAGAGCGAGTGCCAGGATAGGCTCCAAAGCTACACAGAGAAACCCTGCCTCGGAAAAAAAAAAAAAAAAAAAAAAAAAAGAAAGAAAAACACAGCCTCACACACGCCAGGCAAACATTCTACCATGGAGCTACACCCTCAAAGCAAAATTCACTCTTTCAAAGAATGTACTTCAGCCTGTAATCCTAGCATGACAGAGACAGTAAGAAAGAGAATTCAAGACCAGCTTGGGCTGTATAGCAAGACCTTGTCTCAAAAAATATAAAATAAAATGAAATAATGAAAGCCAAAATGTACACTTCAGAGTTAGTAGGGCCATTGTCATTCAAATTTCCCAGCTATAATTCTATAACAGGAGCTGGTGAGATGGCACTTGCTGCCAATTCTGAAGATCTAAGCTGAAGCCAGGCATTGGTGGCACACGCCTTTAATCCCAGCACTCGGGAGGCAGAGGCAGGCAGATCTCTGTGAGTTCGAGGCCAGCCTGGTCTCCAGAGCTACGCAGAGAAACCCTGTCTCGAAAAACCAAAAAAGACAAAAAAACCCCAAAGTTAGCTGTATCCCTGGAACCCATGTGGTAGAGAGAACTGATCCCCACAAGCTGTCTCCTGACTTCCACTCAGGTGCTAAGCTTGTACACACACACACACACACACACACGCACGCACGCACGCACGCACGCACGCACCAAATAAAAAGGAAGTAACATTTGAATTTTGACGTGTTTTGCTTATTAGAAAGAATGAAAACTTCAAACTCACAGAGATCCGCCTACCTCTGCCTCCCAAGTGCTGGGATTAAAGGTGTGCTCTATCATTGCCTGGCTCCTAATTGAATATTTTCTAAAACCATAAAGCTGGCCCCTCCTCTACGCCATGCAGATTGCTGGTCTGACCTTCATTGATTCTAAAGTAGCTGTCTGGGGTGGGGCCCAGGAATCTGCATCTTACCCAAATACTCAGCCCTAGAGAAAGAGGGGTTAGGCAGCACACTCCTGTCATGGCTCAGAGGGACTCAGCATTTCTGGAACACTATGCTATGCTAAATATTCTCCAGGCGACACAGTGCACACATTCTGGGTACAGAAACCATAAGCTAGGCATGGCTCCTCTACACAAGTGGGGGGGGGGCTCAGTGAGGCATACAGCCTCAGGTTAGCCAGGGCTTGTCTGTCTGACTATAGTCAGTGTTCTTTGCCCAACTGGGAGCTGTCCCGTCCTTCCCACGGCCCATATATTACACGTTGCCCTGGATCATATTCCACTTGGCACTTCCCTGATGTCTGTTTTATGCTATTCTATAATTATCTTCCCCAAACGAGATTAGAAATTCCTTGAGAGCAGGGACCACGTCTCCTCAGATACAGCCAGCATTTCTACACCACCTAATGGCCCAGGCAGGTGCTGGAGCCACAAATTGTCTCCGAGGACTAGGGATGCTCTTTGTCCAAACCTTGGTCCCTTTATGGTAAGAGAGAACTTGGTGGCTTCAGAAACCCAGGTCAAAATGAGAAAGGTTGCTGGTCACCTAAGTTCTCAAATCAATACCAGCCTCTGTTTCCCCATGCTCCGAACCCTGGTAAGCATGTGACCTCAGCCCTGACTAGAGTCCCTACACTCAAGGGGCAGGTTATTGAAGATGAGTCAGAGAGGCAAGCACCTCGAAAGGGAGCTTAACCTCTGTCTTTACTGAGGAAGCTGCTGCCCCATAACAAGACGTATCAACCATGACCATGTTGCTCCTTGAGGCAGCTGGAGTCAAACACTCATCTTCTCAGAGGAGGGTGCCAAGTGTGGGTAACCCGGGCAGGGGCAGGCATGCAGAGGACCATAGTGCAAAAGCCTTTTGGTAGGAAGTGGGTTGGCCACTTGCAAGCACCCTCTCCAGGACACAGCATGGTCACCGCTGTCAGCATGGTCCCACTCGTCTCCCTTGATCTTCCTAAGCCCCTCTAGAGAGTGGTGCAGGCATCCCTACAGCAAGTTCTCTCACTCCTGGTCCACCAACAGCCCCTTAGAAGGTGCTCCATAAACAGAGAACACACACATCTGAAAATTAGGGGGACTTGAGTTCAAGTCTCCACTTCGACATAACTGTATGCATGACTCTGGGGGGAGTGGGTGTACCCTCTTAGAGATCATGTCTTCCCCTTGTAAAGAGATTTTAAAAGACAGGAAGAAAGAGGGTGGTATGAAGCATGAGCCGGGACCTGGCTTATGGATGGGTGTTCAGGAATGGGGCCACAGGGAAGGCAGAGGCTTGGTGTAACTAGGTACCACACTGCCTGTTCCTACATAAGAGTACACAAGTGGGCCGGGCGTTGGCACACACCTTTAATCCCAGCACTTGGGAGGCAGAGGCAGGCAGATCTCTGTGAGTTTGAGGCCAGCCTGGTCTACAGAGAAAGTTCCATGATAGACTCCAAAGCTACAGAGAAGCCATGTTTCAGGAGGAAAAAAAAAAAAAAAAAAAAAAAAAAAGAGTACACAAGGTGCCAGGGGGAGTAAGCCCTATATAAAAATGTGTCTCTTCATACAGAGGACAACTTTCAAGGGACATCCCCCTGTCACTGAGGGCCAGATAGGACTGTAGGGGCTAATGACACAGTTCAGTAGGCTTTCTAGGCCTAGGCTGGGCTTTGTGCCTTCCAAGTAGTTTGGCTTTAGGTCCCCAGGCCAGTGGATAGAGATGACAGCCTCTTCTCCCTGCAGTGTGGAGGTCATGCTGGGTAGGGAATGAAGACATGACAGCCCTATGTACTCACGTCATCAACTTTTGGCTCCGTCACAGGAACCCACTTGTAGATTCGTAGGGATGTGTCACCAACAGTCACCCATTTCTTCTCCCTGCAGGGAATGAGGAAGAGCCCATGACCAGGGGGCTTTGGACAAGGACTCTGATTATGGGGAGGGTGGCAGAGGTCACAGCTACAAAGACATGTCTGTGTAGCCTAGGGGCTAAGACAACAAGCTTTGATGGATCACACAGATATGGCTGGAATCCCAGCTTGGTCCTTGACGGCTGGGGCCCCTGGGAAAGCCCTTGGCTTTATGTAAAAGAGAAAGCAAGCAATGGCCCTGCCCTCCTGGAAGCTTCCCTTCCTAACAGTGGGGGGTGGGGGAGCCAGGACAGGACATTGAGAGGTAGGCTGTGCCTGGCCTTGTGGGGATGGATCCTAGGCACCTATCCTTTAGCGGAGGCTTCACATAGACCCCTGATCACCTGGGTTCTATATTCCCATAGGACAGAATCCAAGTGCCCAGCTGAGAGAGATGGGTATACAGATGAGAAGGAGAAAATTACAGGCTGTGAGAAAGGAAAGGGTGACTAGTTTCATCAAGGATAATAACTGTGCCCTCGGGGCTGGAGAGATGGCTCAGAGGTTGAGAGCACTGACTGCTCTTCCAGAGGTCCTAAGTTCAATTCCCAGCAATCACATGATGGCTCACAACCATCCGTTATGAGATCTGGTGCCCTCTTCTGGTGTGCAGATGTACATGGAAGCAGAATGTTGTATACATAATAAATAAATAAAATCTTAAAAAAAAAATAACTCTGCCCTCTCCAAGCCACTGCCATTTGCTAGACGATTATTGTGAGACGCTGTCCCTTCTTGTCCTAAATATTCAGAGGCCATGTACCTGCACAGGGTAGGTACAACTTGGGGAGAATCACCAGGGGCGGCGGTGGGGTTTGAGCCCCAACAGTGTGGGTTCTGGCTTGGCCATCTCAGGAGGAGGCAGCCTGAAGTTGCACTGAGTTCAGAAAGGAACCCAAGTGATTTGAGCAACCACATGAGGTGAGAGGTCAAGGCTAGAGGAAGAGGCAACAACTTCAATGACAAGAGTCCCAAAGCCGGCCTAGAGAGATGGCTCAGAGGTTAAGAGCACTGGCTGCTCTTCCAGAGGTCCTGAGTTCAATTCCCAGCAACCACATGGTGGCTCACAACCATCTGTAATGAGATCTGGTGCCCTCTTCTTTCCTGCAAGCATACGTGGAGGCAGAATGTTGCATACATAATAAATAAATGAAATCTTAAAAAAAAAAAAAAAAAAGAGTCCCAAAGCTACCTAGGTGATATGAGGACCTTGGCTTCTCCACTCAAACTTTACCTACTGTCTTCCCCTCATATGTGACTGTGCCACATTGCAGTCTTTACCAGGTCACAGCTGAGGCTTTGGGCAGCGGTGTGCTCGTGTGAGCAAGTGCATGTATGTGTGCTAACCAAACCATGCACCTCCATCCATAAACTCTGCCCACTCAGGTCGCCAAGTTCCTGCCAGCCACGGCCAGGATTTTGTTGTTAAAGGCGACCATTTCTAATTGCTTCCATGTGCTAAGCACTACACCCACATACTCTGATGTTTACATGGCCATGTGTGGCAGCAGGTGTCACCTTCCCATCGACAGATCAAGGAAGTGAGACCCGGAGGAGAACACATAACTGCTTGGAGAGGATCCAAACCCTCGGCAGAGCATCCGTCAGGCCCCGCCCATGCGCCTTTGGGCTGGGAGAGCAAGGAGACAGATGTCTATCTTCCATCCCTCTCCTGCCTCCTGAAGGCAGAGCGCCTAAGCCACAACAGCATCTTTCAATCTCCACTCAAAATACCCAGAAGGTAGCTGGAGGGATAGGGACAGGGAACAAAGTCAGTGACAAGTAGAGAATAATCCTGATGGCCACTGTGTACTAGAGGCCAAGCTATATGACCCCTCCCCGCTCTCCTTTCTCTGAGATTACTAAAAGGGAGGAACACATCTTACCGATGAGGAAACAAGCAGCCCAGCAACTTTTATCATGGTCATGGTCACATAGACAATATGTAGTAAAACAAAGAGTGAATATAGGTTTTGATGCCAGCCAGAGTCCACTTTCTGGTATTGTGCTGGCCCTAGACAGAAAAGTTCATTCTAAAGACCACCTGGGGACAGAAATTTCTAGAATCAAAAGGCCAAAGTCACCCAATTGGTACACACAAGCAAGCCCTTGACTGACTTCCTTGGTCTGAGCTTTAGTAAAACAATCAATTCAAAGTTGGAGTATGTTAATTTTACTTTTTTTATTTAAGTGATTAACTTGAAACAGAAAGATCATGGTTCAGGTTGAAGAGCTCACCAGAGTTCTTTCTGGGCCTCCCAAGAGGACAGGAACCAGGTGAATGTCTGAAGTTATCGGCATTATGGGCCACCAGCAACACCCTGGCTCCTTCACCCCCAGTGGATGACCTCGTCACTGGTCACCTCAGAGACAGAAATAATCTGTAGCACTATTACTAGGTGTGGACACTGAGGAGACAGAGGCAAGAGTTATACACTTGACTTGGGAGGTGGGCATGATGGTATATAATTCTAGTAACCTGCGATCCCCAGCACTTGGGAGGCCGAGGCAAGATAATTGCTAACTCTAGGTCCCAGGTGGTTCTAGGCTACATGGTGAGATCAATAATAATAATGACAATAATAATAGGGGCTGGTGAGATGGCTCAGTAGGTCATAGGTAAGGGTGCTTGATGACTTTACATCCTCAGAAATGGCATGGTGGACGATGACCTACTCCCACAAATTGGCCTCTGACAGCCACAAGAGCATCATAGGCCATGGGAGAGCTCTCTCTCTCCCCCCTGCCCTCTCTCCATCTCTCTTGTTGTACAAGCACAAACACAAAATAAATAAATATAAAAGAATTAAAAAAACAACAACAAACTCTAGCACTTGGGAGGCTGAGGCAGGTGGATCTCTGGCCTACAGAGCAAGTTCCAAGACAGCCAGAGCTACAGAGAAGGGGGGGGGGGCGGAAGAACCGACCTTCGGGATTGATCTTTGACCTCTGACCTGGGACTTGGTCCTTGGCCTCCCAGGAAGCCAGACAGAGCTCTCACAAAGATGCTGGCTCAGGGGAGCAGCTCCTACAAACACCCCAAGCCCATCAATGGGGGAACACACACAGCTGGCTGCTCCCACAATGAGGTTACTAGAAGACATTCCTATTACCTTACAGCAAGGCACATCTTGTTTACCGTCATAGTACTTTTCAAAAGTTGACTCAATTGCCAAAGTAGATGAAAGAATGAAAGAAAGGGGGAGCCATAAAAATCCAGATTTTTGGCTACTCTGAAAACACGCTCTGGGGCCCATATGCCCCTGGAAGTTACAGTTTGCTCCAGATGGCTCACACTGGCTCTGCCCCAGCCCCACCTCTCGCCACCTGGAGGCGTTCACATGTACCACCAGGCTGCAGCTCAACCTAGCCACAAAACTACTCTACACTGAGACGAGTCCACCTGCCTCCATGGCCCCTGAAAACCAGCTTCCCTCCTGTCTCCCAGAATTGTGTCCCTGAGATGAAAGGCTGAAAGCAAGGTCCCAGATGTGGGCATATAGCTCCAAAGTTCTTCCCCAGCTCAGGCTCTTACATAAACTACAGTAGTGCATCTCAGATTCTCAAGGCCAAGGTAAATTCCCAGTGTTCTACTGGGTCTTGGTCCAGTGTGCCCCATGGGTCCCTGCCTACTCCAAAGAGCAATTCACACTCAACACAGGACTAGTCTTTGTCACCCTGGGAGACTTGTCCTCATCCTAATCAGGTAAATCTGGTTGTGCTTCAGAAGGCCTCTCTCAGGGATGGATAGGAAGCCCCCACTCTGTCTCTGTGGCCAGTTCCTAACGAACCCTTGGACCTAGTGCTGAAAGGTCCTGGACCAATGCCTACTACGAAGCTCTGACCTCCCTTTATCTTTCCACTCACGCTGGGCCTCCTAAGCCTGGCCCAGTTTCCCAAAAAGGCACCAACCATTTTGTCCTCTTTCAGCCATCTTCTGGCCACCTCACACCCCACCAACCTGCTCTGTGGGGACACCAGACAGAAAAGAGAAATAGTTGCTGGCTGTGGGTAGGGAGGCCATAGCGCACACTGGCTTTCTCTGCAGAGCGATGGAAAGGTAGAGCTGGCCAAGTGGGTATGAGAAGAAATACCACCCTAGGCTTTCAGGCTGAAGAGATGCCAGACACCTCAGCTCTCCTCTGGTTAAAAAACAGAACGACTCATTGATTTTGAGTTTTTCAGATAAATGGATAACTTTTCCTTATGTGTCGGTATGTGTATGTCATGGGATATACTTACGCAAAAGGTAGGTGTGTGTGTGTGTGTGTGTGTGTGTGTGTGTGTGTGTGTACAGGCTGAAGTCAAAACCCAGAGCCCTGTGCATGTTAAGCTCAATTCCACCACTAAAGCATTAATCTCAGCAGAAAATTTCATTTACTTTTGCTTTTTTGAGAGAAGCTTGAATGTAGCCCAGGCTAACCTTGAACTCACTATGTAGCTGGCCTTGAACTCCTGATTCTTCTGCCTTTACCTCACAAATGCTGAGATTATAGGCATGTACAAGGGAAGAAAGGTTGCTTTTTTTTTTTTAATCGTGTTGCTATTTATCTGAAATTCAAATTTAGTCAGGTGTTCTGTATTTTCATTTGCTAATTCTGGCAACCCCATGTTCAGTCAGTGGTGAAATGCATGGTTGGTGGCCACAGTTAATAAACAGCCCCAAAGCCTTCAGGGTCGATGGAAAGACTGTTGTACAGACAGGGAAAGACCAGATTCTGCGACTCAAGGAAGTCCTCTTCATTTTTGTTTAAAAATGGGAGGGAAGCAAATCCAAAATTTCTAGAAAGTTCACCTTACATAAGGACATTTACAATGACTCCTGTGTACTCTGGTGACTTCACCTGACTAGTCTGTCGGTCCTCAACAGTTCAAGAAGGCGAGGGGGCACCGAATCCCCGGGGTTGCCAGGGTTAGAGAAGTGAGTTTCATATTCTGCCCAAGGTCACAGCAAGGAAGTGAAGTAGGAACTTCCCAAAGCCTGAGGTCTTTGGAGGTCATGATGTTCTTATTTCCCCCAAAACATAGGGAAGAAGGCAGCCGCATCCCCCATTCCAATCCCAGGCTTGGCAGGCTGGGGACTGGCCAGGATGGAAGCCTCCAGGCCTGCTGCTCTGGGGCCCACAGGGTGGAAAGCCCCATCCCTCCATCTGCCCGCCCCGCAGAGCAGCTGGCAGACCCAGCCGCAGCTGTCACTGCTCCAGGACCAGAAAGGCAGCTTACACCGGCCCCTTTCTACCCTCCAGGAGGGTGACAGACAGAAGTGACTCACGCCCTGATATCAGTTCTTTCTTTGCACCAGGACTGAGGCAGGGGAGGGGGGGCACCTCAGCCTTCCCTTGAGAGTCCCACAGGAGAGGGGGCACTGTGTTGTTTTCCTCTGTGTTTTGGCCTGCAGCTGTTTCTGCCATTTTTAAATGGCTCCAGTTGGGCACTGGGCGCCTTGCTCAGCAGGGGAGCTCCCGGCACCCAGGACTTGGATCTCAACTTTGGAAAGCCTCCCCTTCTCACGGTTGTGAAAATTCTTTGTCCCACTGGAGCCAAACCCAGCCCACGGCAGGCATCCGGCCATCCGAAGACAGCCCTTTCCATAGGAGGCCCGGGAGCACGTGGACTTTATTGATTTTTCTCCTTGCCTTTTTTTTGTTGGGTTTCACTCTGAAAGGACAGCTAACTTGTGACACCACCAGACCTGAGACAGGCCCCCGAGTAGTGTTTTTTTTTTTTTTTTAAAGGCAATAACAACAGCGGCGTTACTCAAGAAATGACACCCCCCAAAGAAACAGCCTGCAGCGGGGCCTGGCCAGTTCCTATAAAGGACGGGACCAGCCCACGGCCGCTGACACTTAGGGGCACCCTCGCGGCTGCTCGTCTCCCTCTCGGACCCTGATGAAGCCGTGAGAAAAAAAAAAAAAAAAGACATAATAAAGTTGAAATTGGGGAGCAGGGAGTTTTCAACAAGTCTGACCCAACCTGGAGGTGGACTACTGGCGCCTCCGGCCTGGCCTCTAGGGCCTCCTGGGAGTCAGATCCCGACGAGGCCCGTGAAAATGTTCCATCCTGCTAATTATAACGAGGCCACGCCGGGCACGATCTAATTTGAGCTTGAAAAACACGCACGGCCCACACCGAATCTCGCGGTCCCCTCCTCCTCCCCCAGTGCAGAGAACAAAAACAACGGTCGCTCGCTCTCTCCGCAAAACAAACACCAGCTCCAGCTCGGAGAAGGCAGACACGGCCCAGGACTTGGCTTCTGGCAGCAAACATCC